GGGAAAAGGAAGCTATTCAGTACCTTGGATGATACTCATTCCGTGGCAAGGGCTGCTTCTCAATGGCCATTTTTCCAGTGGGTCAGTGTGGTATATTTGGGCAAGATACCCCAGTAGTTACAGTGATTTACTAAGTACTAGGATGGAAAATCTGTGGTCCTCCAGGTGTTGCTGAACTACAACTCCCATCATGACTGCATTTTCTGTTTTTGCCAGGAATAGTGGAAGCTGAAGTGTTAGAACATTTGGAAACTGAAAAGGGTCCCTTATGTGTGGATGTCAACACATGTGATAAAGTTAGCCTGTGCTGATTTATTATTCCGTCATAAAAGTAATAAGAAATCAGATCTTTTCCATTTACCTTTATTATAGCATAAAGTTGGCGGTCTTTTTTTAATGTGCTGCTTTTCTGTTGCTGGAGAAAACTTCACTTTATTTTTAATGCTGCAACATTGTAATTTCTAGTGTCCTTTCTCTACCCAGTGGAAAAGGAAGAGCCAGTACTGTTACAAACCTATAGCCAGATGATGGGAAACATTAACAAGATGGAGCATTGCTGTTTGGAAAGAGAGTCTTTTTGCTTGCACTTGGCCTTGTGTTTATTGCATGAATGACACTTGTACCAGTGATATTACATGGAAGGTCCAGTGATTATATTGAGCTTTTGTCATCTTAGTACATATCATAAGTTTACTTTTGCTATGGTTAGCTAGGACCGTGGATAAAAATATCTGTGTCTGGTGAGTGTATGCTAAACCAGATTGTCCAGGAGAGAAAAACCAACTCACCAGGTTGAAGAGAAGCCATAGAGGTATATTATGATTTAGCTAAAAATATACGAGTACAGCAAGTTGTATCAAAATGTACAAGCATAAACATACAGAGAAATACAAGACATCTTATATAGATCTGTCAGTTATTCAGACTTCCCACTTCCTCCCCTTATTTATTTTATTTATTTATCGAGTCATCAGCAACCAGTCAGTTATATTGCATTTCTAACAGAACAAAGCAAACGAACAGACAAAATACAAAAATACAAAATACAGAATACAAAATTTGTGAGTCTGGTAGTTGATTAAATGTCCTTTGACCTGTATCTGGCCACTTGGAGTGCTTCTGGTGTTGCTGCAAGAAGGTCCTCCATGGTGCATGTGGCAGGGCTCAGGTTGCATTGCAGCAGATGGTCAGTGGTTTGCTCCTCTCCACACTTCCTCTCCTGATTGGCTGAAATAGGCAGGCTAGGATCTGTGCCAGGACTGGCCGGTAGGGAGAATGGCAGCCAGGGAGTGGAGAACCAATCGGCTGTAGAGATGCCCCCTGGGATGGGAGGGGGCGGTGGGAGGGGGGGAACAAATGGTAAATATATGTTGATGGGCTTCTGATGAGCTCGAATGTCCAGTTCCATGGCAAACAAAGATAAGAGCTTCAGAGCCCTTCCACACAGCCATATAACCCAGAATATCAAGGCAGGAAATCCCACAATATCTGCTTTGAATAGGAATATATGGCAGTGTGGACTCAGATAACCCAGTTCAAAGCAAATATTGTGAGATTTCCTGCCTTGATCTTCTGGGATATTTGGCTGTGTGGAAGGGCCCTCAGAAAAAAAAAGTTTTGGAGCTCCTGGAACAAAAGACTATGATCTTGGGCAATCAAGGGCTTGGCTGTCAGTAAGAGAGTTTAAAAAATGCACGTACTCTGAGCTTCGGTTTCTGCAGATAGCAACCATTTAGGCCCCTTCCACACAGCTGAATAAAAACCCACATTATCTGCTTTGAACTGGAATATATGGCAGTGTGGATAACCCAGTTCAAAGTAGATATTGTGGGTTATTTTGCCTTGATATTCTGAATTATATGGCTATGTGGAAGGGTCCTCAGCTTCAAATGAGCCATTTAACTAAACAGTTTTGGGTTTATCTCAGCTAAACCAAGAAGTCATCTATGCCTGCGTACACTTAAACAATGGGTCTGATGATAACCTGGCTTGAGAAACAGTCAGAGGGGTTTGTCCAGCTTTCCTGTTCTCAGGGGATTATCTTCACAGGGTTATGGAGAGTTGACTGTCTCTGGGTTGTCTTGATACATTTTGTAAGGCAGTTTGTACATTTTATATACAGTACACAGAAAGATACAAGTTACATAAAAAGTCAAGAAAAATAGATACAATATATTGAAGGGTTAGAAACTATAAAATTTGGGGGTTTACAGCTGCTGGTGGTTCTGTCTCAGTCTTCTGATGCTTTGAACTTGTGCAAGTCCAGAAAGGGTCTTTTTTTTTTTTAAAGAAAAAATCGCATATATATTTTTGAGCCCTTGATTATCTATAAATCTTCTGGAGCAGGGTATTATTGTGACTCAACAAGACTTTCTCAGAGTCAAGATTTATGTTTTACCTTTTTCTGGAACTTATCGTAGATCTGATCTGCATGAGATACCCTCTGTAAAATCTTAGGACTTGTGTGGGCCCATATGATGGAAAAGCCCCCTTTCCATCATGGACATGTTAGAAATAATAACCCTTTCAATGTTATAATATTAATGGTATCGCAAAGAAGGACAAGTTATTTTTGTTGCCTATGTACTTATTCTGTGACACAGGTTGACTGAAAAGTCCCCTTCCTCTTTCCTTATGTAAGCTCTTCTCATTTTATTACTTCCAAAATTCTTGCAAAGCCTGTTTTTCTGTCCATTTGCCTGCTTCAATTTCAACCTGTTCAGAGAAATGGCAAGTTGGGGCTACTGGTTGCTCTTTGCTAGGCTGCTTTGCAGGGAGCCAGTTCCAAATAAATTGCTCCTAACATCACTTATAAATGAGCCCCTGTATTATTGTTACAGTTAGTGCTTTATCGGTCAAGAAAACTCCTGGAATAGGAGGACGAAAAAGAACTTTGTATCCTCTGGGGAGAAGCAAAGCTATTAATGTTGTGTTTGTGCAGTGGTATGCAAACATTTACTTAATTCAGCAAATGCCTCTGTGAGATGCGTATTAATCTTCTTTCCCAAATAAGAAGGTTGAGAACAGTTGGAAGCCCATTTGAACGGATATGTGTTTTTCTTGGAAGTAAAGTCCCTTCAAAATCTGTTGGGTTTTAACTTTTATGTAAATGTGCCTATGATTTCAAGCTGACTCGGGGTTAAGAAATACAGTGGTGTAAGGATAGAAGAGGAGGATTTATACAAAGATTTATTACAGTCAAAATACATGTACATTTGCTACCTGGGGGAGACTCTGAAATAACATTAATCAGTATCATTAATTTATATAGCACAATTACATTTACTTGGCACTGTACCATAAACCAAAAAAAAAGCAATGGGCCCTGATAAATAAGTGTGTATACACATATATGCACAGAGGGATAGAGCAATAACAAAGCACAAAACTATAAAATGCAAGTGCGAAGTAAATAATCCTGGTAAAACGCAAATTAAAAGCACAATACAACACAAAATAAACTGACAATACATGTAATTAAAATGTATCAAATCTTCAGAGTTTCAACATAAATTATAGTTTGATTAGATGATTCTTCCTTTGATGATGGTTTTGTGATGGTAGTTTTGTGGACCAGTTGGATAGTCCCTCTGGCAATAGGAATAGTATAACTAGTATAACAGATTAGAGAGATGGGCCAAAACTAACAAAATGAAGTTCAACAGTGACAAATGCAAGATACTCCACTTTGGCAGAAAAAACGAAATGCAAAGATACAGAATGGGGGACAATGCCTGGCTCGAGAGCAGTACGTGTGAAAAAGATCTTGGAGTCCTTGTGGACAACAAGTTAAACATGAGCCAACAATGTGATGTGGCGGCAAAAAAAGCCAATGGGTTTTGGCCTGCATCAATAGGAGCATAGTGTCTAGATCTAAGGAAGTAATGCTACCCCTCTATTCTGCTTTGGTTAGACCACACCTGGAATATTGTGTCCAATTCTGGGCACCACAATTCAAGAGAGATATTGACAAGCTGGAATGTGTCCAGAGGAGAGCAACTAAAATGATAAAAGGTCTGGAGAACAAGCCCTATGAGGAGCGGCTTAAGGAGCTGGGCATGTTTAGCCTGAAGAAGAGAAGGCTGAGAGGGGATATGATAGCCATGTATAAATATGTGAGAGGAAGCCACAGGGAGGAGGAGCAAGCTTGTTTTCTGCTTCCCTGGAGACTAGGACGCAGAACAATGGCTTCAAACTACAAGAGAGGAGATTCCATCTGAACATGAGGAAGAACTTCCTGACTGTGAGAGCCGTTCAGCAGTGGAACTCTCTCTGCACTGGAGTGTGGTGGAGGCTCCTTCTATGGAGGCTTTTACCATCTGTCGAGGTTGCTTTGAATATGATTTTCCTGCTTCTTGGCAGAAGGGGTTGGACTGGATGGCCCATGAGGTCTCTTCCAACTCTTAGATTCTATGATTCTATGATTCTATGATTATCACCTTTAGATAATTCTTTAGAATAATAGAATCATAGTTGCAAGAGACCACAAGAGCCAGTTATTCTATCTGCCTGCAATGTGGGAATACCCGATCAAAGCACCCTCAACAAATGGCCTCCTAGCCCCTGCTTCAAACCTCCAGAAAATGAGATTCCACTACACTCTGAGGCAACATATTCCATAGCTAAACAGCTCTTACCACTAGGAAGTTCTTCCTAATGCTTTGGTGAAATTTTTTTCTTGCAATTTGAATCCAAGGCAACAGAAAACAAGCTTGCCCCCTCCTCAATGTGACATCCTTTCAAATATTTGAACATGACTGTCATATCCCCTTTCAGCCTTCTTTTCTCCAAGCGAAACTTACCGAGCAGCTCTTGGCCAAAACTGATTTTTTTAAAAAAACACCAGAAAATCTAACCAGCTGGTCTTGTTCATTGGTATATTCAGCCTTCCCCTGCCCTTCTAATTAACTTTAAATTAAAAATAATACTTTGTACATTGTTAGAGTCTGAGATTTGCTGCTGTACAGACTAAATCCAAGTTGTTGTTTTTTTCTTACCAGGTATCTGCATCATATTGGTGCACTTATTGATAAGGTACAGGCTGCATTTCATGCCAGAGAGTGTTGCTGTTGTTTCATTAGGTGAGTACCTTTAACAGTGGGAAAAGTGACTGCATTCTTGTGCTCTAATTGCCCAGGTATGACACTCTTTCTTTCCAATACATAATCCAGTTCTCTATTTATTATTTTTGCTTATTATTTATATAACTGTATTAATAATTTATATTAATGTAATATACTTTATTAATAATCATTTATCAAAATGATATATGCTCATGTCAATATTTCATTGTATTTATATGATGCTGTAATAAATTTGATTTACTGTCATGCCACTTTCCCCTAAGAACTCAGTTTTGTCATAGTGCAATACAGGAATGGATTTTTCCATCTTATAAAATGAAAAGAATCAAGAGATAATAATAATAATAATAATAATAATAATAATAATAATAATAATAATAATAATCATTACCAGCCCCTCCTTTTGGCGGGTTACAACATCACTAACACACACAATTATCTAAAAACAATCTACAAAATACACATATTAAAACATATTAATACATATTAAAATACACCGAATGAAGATTAAACATAAGACGCAAGTTAAAAATTTGTGATTAAAACTGGGTGGAACAGAGATGCAAGGTATTCTGAGATACCTGGTTGTTTGCAGTCAAAATTAATGTGATGCAATTTTCATTACTGAAACCTTCATTTAGCAATTTATATTGCTAATCTTAACACGTCCACACATACAAATACATAAAGGAGTATAAATGAGAAAAAAAGAGTGAGAATGTGGCTTGGGAAAAAAGTGGAGAGAGTAAAGGAAATAACCTATCTCTAATAGGACGCCAACATGAAGGCAGTTTCAAGAGGAAGAAGCAAGAAGCTCGCACCCTTTTACTCATTACTTCCTTGACATAAACTCATTGATTCAAATAGAGTGTTTCCCCAGAACATTTCCTGCTGTCTGGACTTGATGGGAGAGCATGTCTGTTTGGCTTACATTTATTAAACAAAGCTTTTCAAACATCTGCTACATTAACTTTACATTCTATACAACAACCTAATCCCTTTTTTGAAAACCTTAAAGTAACTCACCATAATTTTTATTGGTGAGGGGGATAAGTGAGGTACTGAGAGATCCAAACAAATTGAAACCTTAATTTATTTTTTCCTGGAATATTATTAAATGCACAGACTTTTCAAATTACATAAAATTTAAAGAAATTTTTGGTGGACATTATTTATGGCAGGTTTTTGAACTAATACCCATTGGGCTAACTGTAGTAAGTTTAAGTGTCCTGTCCAGATGAGCAAGGTTTTGTAAACTAAGTAAGAGTTGATTCCCTGTTCCATTCAACTATCATGAAAGATGAATCAAGATTATCTGTGAGCAGATGTGCAGGCAGGGATTGTGGGGTGGTAACTTTGGCAGACTTCTTTTTAAGCTTGGTCTATAATATTAAATGGTCTCTAAAGCTAACACTTCCTTGCAGTATGTAAGATCCTTATTTAAAGGAGATAATAAATAAAAGTTCCTTTCCATTACATCTGAAACAAAAATGAAGGATCCAGGATGCTACTGATACAGTAGTCATTCTGAAATCCAGTCATTAATTTGAAGAATCAGGGCTTTTCAATGCTGTCAAAGCTTTAGTTGTCTATCTTTAATCTACCTCTTAACTAATCAAACATTCCAACTCCAAATGGAGATATACCTAGAATTTGGGGAATACCTTGCCAAGCTTATTTTTGTCTTGGATGCTGTAACATCTATATATGAAACAGATATAGAAGAATTTCCTCAAGGGCTCATGCTATTGAGAGCATACTCCTTGTAGCTTAAAATCTTAGAGCTACCGCAAGATTATAAAGCATTTTCACTGTAGAGTTATGAAGGATATTTCTGTTCTGGCAGTGGGGAGGCGTAAAAGAATGTCATCTTAAATTCAGATCAAACTCTTAGGTATTTGAACAAGCCTGAAAAGTTCAGCTGCATTCTGCTTACCCCACTGATTTGGTATGTTAGTGCAACTTGACTGATTTCAGAATGACTGTACCTTCAAAGCATGAGAATGTGTGCCATTTGGGTTTGTAATTAATTTCTAGTTTATTTATCTCAGTCTCCTTGCTACTTTTACATACCTTCTAGCATTTCACGCTTGAAAACAGACCCACCTGGTTTCCAGGTGTGGGGAAGAGAATTTGTAATCACAAGGATCCAAGCTATGATTCATATTATAGCTAAACCAGCCGAACATGCAGCTGTAGAGGGATACTTGGTGATATTGTTCTTGTAACACTTCTAACCTCAAACTAGATGTTTCTTATATGTGAAAGTAAAAGTAGCTAAGAAATTTGCTACCTCACTCTGGTTCTTCTGAATCCCAGCTTTTGCAAAACTAGCGAGAATACTGTTGCACTCATGCATGTTCTTCTTTGTGATAACCGTACCAGTGATTTGGTGGGTGACTGTGTGAAGGTTGAAGGAAATAGGTTTCTGTTCAGTCTTGTATGTTTCTTTAAGTTAACTTTTCTTGGGTGTCTTGAGAAAAGGAAAAAATAATGAGAGGTCCAGGCTAGGTTGCCCAAGTCATTATTTTCCGAGAAGCCAACAATTGCCTGAGACAGCCTTGTTTAAAAATAGCCAAACATACTGTTTCATTATAAATTGAGATTACCATGGTTTCTTTTGTAGACAATCAGGACGTATGTGTGGGGTAGTGGCTTGGGAGGGGAGAGTTAATAAATATTTAGACTAGCTTCAAGTATTCCGCAAAAACATATCTTTTTTTTTTTTGCTGGCTATAGTAGATTTTAGAGCAGCTCCTCAATCTGCACATCATCCCCTCCATCCATGCTAATCCCCTCCATTAATTCATAATTTCTTTCTTGTTTCTAAATTTACCTTTTTAAAAAGTTTTGTCTATAGAGATAGTGCTAAAGTAATATAAGAGTATAGCATTTTAGCCCTGTAACTCTGAAGAGAAAGGAAAGATAACAAATGTTCAACCTGTTAACTGGAATTTATCCATGTTCACTCTCTCACACATTATTTCTATTTTCCATTTCTAATTTTTTATTTATTTTGACTCTGGAGACCAGGGTTCGAATCTTCATTCAAGCTTGGGTGAATCATACTCTCTGGGTCCCAGAGGATAGCAAATGCCAAGAAAACCACATGATAACTTTATCCTTGGTTCATAGCAGGAAGAACTGAGACAAATGATACTGAAATGTCATATTTAATATGGCTTGTATAGAAAACTCCCAGTACAGAAAAAATATTTGGTCTTGTAGTGGATTTGTAAAAGACCATCATGTACTGGAATTTCAAGAGAAACTAAAGTAATCCCTCCCTGAATATAGCTACAGTTGAATCTCTCTTATCCAACCGTTGCTCATCCAACATTCTGTATTATCCGACACAGTCTGCCTCCTGCCCGGATTCACAGCTGTTTCAATACATTGTGATGTTTTGGTGCTAAATTTGTAAATACAGTAATTACTACATAAAGTTACCGTGTATTGAACTGCTTTTTCTGGTGATTTGTTGTAAAACATGATGTTTTGGTGCTTAATTTGTAAAATCATAATGCAATTTGACATTTAACAGGCTTTTCCTTAATCCCTCCTTATTATCTAACATTTTCACTTATCCAATATTCTGCCTGCCCATTCACATTGGATAAGCGAGGCTCTACTGTACAATTTCTACCAAATCTCCATTTTTGGGGGGTAGTATGGAGGAGAAAAGAAGAAAAGGTGGTGAAAAGGTAGCTTTGAATTAATTATTAAGGTATGGTTTTGTAATTCTTTCATACAGTATTTATTTACTTGATAACTTCCAATAAAATATAACTATCAGAAAAGAATGTTTAATAGAAATCTCACAAAGTGACCTGATTATGAGAGTTATAGACTACTGCTATATGCATCCTATTTTGTAAATTGTGTTACATAGACAGGCAGCTGTGTTGTGGAATGTGTGGGAAAACAACTTGGTTTTAAATGTAAACTTTAAACACATGCCTGTGTTCTCTGGACGTGGGAAACTGTAGTTCCCATTAATCGTCTTAACTTTTATTTGAATATATCTTCCTGGCAATTTCTCCAGTATGAAACTGAGTTCTCACTGATGCCACTCCAGTTCTGGAGAGGAAACAAGTGTTGCAAGCCCATATGTTGCAATACTTGTTTTCAGAATAGGATCTTGATTACAGAGGATATACTCGCTGGAAGTGAGAGGGAAAAATAAAGTTCCCCCAGTCCTCTTGATTTCTTATGACTTGAATTCTCAGGAACAACCCTAATATTGTAATCAAAGATGTTGACATAGGAGGAGCTGTAGTCATTATGGACACACCTGGCTACATACAGAAGATTGAGAGGCTACTATACAAAACTACACCCTACAGAATCCTAACAATTACACACACAAATAGGAAGGAATTACACAGACTACATAGGAAATTTCCCACAGAAGTCCTAAATCTGAATTGGCACAGCCCATGAAACTTAACCAGGCACATTCCATCTATCACCCAAAATACATAAGCGGTGCAACCCTGAACAGCCCATTGTCTTCAGCATTGGGACACTCACAGATTATGTCTCTGGATATAGGGACAGTATCCTAGGCCATATGCCACCAGTGACACTAGCTATATAGAGGACATTACCAACTTCCTGAAGGGAACACCATCTTAGCCTATGGATTATATACCAACATCCCACACAAGGATGGACTGGAAGCTGGAAGAAACATCATTCTAGATAGGACAATAGCAGACCTGGATACCAAGATCTGCCACATTGCTCTCACACAGGATTGCACTTTTGGTAATAACTTAAACCTTCAATCTAATGATATAGCTATGAGCACAACACATAGCACCATAATATGCTAACATATGTATGGCTGGCCTTAACTCCTGCGTCCAATAACACCTACTTTGCCTGAAATACATTCATGCTATCTTCATAAATTGAATTAATGAATTCACTCAATACTATCCTCAGAATTTCAACAACTTTCAGCTTCCCATCAATTTTAGCCTGAAACTACC